ATAGATCTAGATCCGGATTTAGTCATTTTTTGTTGCAAATATGGTTTTATTTAATTTGTGTTGTAGATCTGATTTTTTGATTCGATCTTGGTTACAAATGTAAGGTTTTTGATTCGATTTGTGTTAAGTTTTTGATTATTTATGGGTAATTTTGTTTTTGAAATTCTTCTTACTGATATAGGGTTTTGACATTTTTATAAATTTTTTAATAGTTTATAAAATCTTTAAAGCTGAACAATTAAATAATAATTTATAAGATTTTTAAAAGGTTTATAAATTTTTTAAAAGGTTCTGGAAAACTATTTAAATTATTTATAAATATTTTTTATACCTTTATAAAGATTTAAAAAATGTTTTTAAAAAGTTTCGTAAGATAGTTTACAATATTTATAAAGAGATGAGATATGTTTCAAAGAGAGAAAGATACATACGAGATCTGGTTCAAAGATGATATATTATTTTTAAAATAACAAGTTTAACATAGATCTTCTATTTTAAGAAGATGCAAAAATCATTGTTTTGTTTGCTATCAATCAAGCTAGTGGGGCTTATATATGTACAAGTTATCAATATTGGTGAAATCGGAACATTTCATACAACATCAATTGAAAACAAATATTAATGCTTGAATTTCGAAAAATACAATTTTCATTACTAATTTTTTATTTTTTATTTTAAAAGATTTTAACCAAAAGAAAACAATTTGAAAAACTCAAATAAGTTTGAGAGAATCTATAATCTCAAACTTATTCGATTTACACCAAAATGCTTATATCCAAACCAAGTGTTATACAAATTAAATTTTGTAAAATAAAATATATTTATCTATATGGGAGTTGTACCATTTTATCTTTGATAATTCTAATTTCTCCGTTATATTAAAAATAATTCATTTTTTTTAATCCTCTATTTGACGTGGATCAATGTTTAGTGATTAATTTGTTGAAATAATTTCATTCTTTTGTGCTTATCCTGATATGACTATGTTATTATTGTTATGGTATTTCATCGAAATTCGTCCTTAAACCCCTATTACACCTCAAAATAGTATTTAACTAGGGTTTATCCATGCTATGCGTGGGTTTAAAATTTAACATCGTACAATATACAATAATTTCTACCTTATTGATTATTTGTATATTTAATATTACAGAAATTTGGTGTTTATAGACTAACCACTTGTAAAAAATTATTTGGCATATACAATTTCTAATGTATATATATAAAAAGACCGTTTACTAATAAAAATTACATATCAACTGACTAAACTTATATGAGTTGGTATACATTATGTGAGTTGATCACTATACACATTGTTGAAAAAATCTTACTATCATATGTTTTCATATTTTTTATATTCATATTAAAACTATGAATTTAGTATCATATTAAAATGTATTTACAAGATATGTGAATCATAAAATTAAATTTTAACTATAATAACTTCATATTTTATTTTCAATTCTATTTTAGTAACTAATTTTTTTATGTAGTTATTGTTAAGAATTTAGTTTTTCCTTTGTTAGAAGGATTTAATACTTTTTAATAGTGAGGTTTGATTGTTCATAAATTACAAATTATCATTATTTTGTCAGTTTTTTGTCATGTAATTAGTGTAAGAAATTGATTATGAGTCAATTTGGTCTTTTAAATCTAAAATTTGTGCTTTTAAGGCTACTGTTTTTTTGT